CCCCCCATATGAATGAAATTGGACTAGTGTCTATTCCCCACAGAGATAGGGACACTAAGCAGGCAGAGCTATGTGTTTTCTAACTCTGGAAAACGCACCATCACAATGAAAGTATTTACAAACTCTGCATTGCATATGTGATGTTGCTTAGAAAAAATGTAGCATGTCCATGTTTGTTTCTTACAAGAAGCAGGCAAAATAGACTGTAGTGTTCCTTCCTGTGTAAAGAAAATGAGGATGGTATTAAATTAATTGCTATGAAAGATGATCTGTTCTCTTAATTACATATATGAAACATTCCTGATCCTCACGTGTAGCACTTGTATGGATTCCTAGAGGATTTTAACACAGCAGCAGGTGTAATCATGATCATGTAGCCCACTGAGCTATTTATAATGAGATGTTTCTAATGAGATGCAGTGGGTGTTGGATTTAATTGAAACCCCAGAGTTTTAAAGGAGAAGTAACAGCAAAAAAATACACAAGCTGTTTCCACCTCGCAAACAAAGCATTCTGTGCAAGTGATTGTTGGCATAGTTTGCAGAAAGTATTTTGGGGTTATCGTTGAAACTTATTGTGTAAGTACACAATTCTAAGATATCATTATCCATATGGAGTTATGATTTGGAACTTTTTTTTTCAAACAGGTTGCTAAAGCTTATACAGGGCCATATCTAATGCATTCTGATCTTGTATCACGCCACAAAATGTATTCTGTAACTTGCATTGTATATAGAACTAACATCAGTCTCTGCTACTTGGGAGATTATGATTCATGCTGATTCTGTAGCCTTGTACAGTCATATTGGGTAATTACACATTAAATGTTCCCTAAAGTCTGCTCAGTTGCACGCTACGGGTGGGGAGGCATTTGTAGGTCACTAACCAGGGTTGGGTGTCAAGCAGAGCTCTGTAAAGGTGCCCATACACCTTACAACTATCGCACGCCTTTTCATCCTGCGATGGTTGTAAGGTAATTAAAAGCTCTTGGACAGGCAGGTCATACTTGCGATCATCGAAAGCCTGCCCCCCCTGAGGGGAGGGCTTCCGATGACTGCAATGCTAAGCGGGCAGTGTGCGCTTGCGTACACCGGCCCGTGCGGCATTTGTTTCCCGAGAACGACACTAACCCGACAAAGATCGTACGATTCTCGGCGGGGTTCCAAGCCTGCTCGGGAGACAAAAGACGTGCGACCGTACAGTAGAAACGGTTGCACGCCTTCCATACACCTGCCGATTTTATCGTACGATATCACCCGCGATTATCATTCGATAATCGGCAGGTATATGGGCACCTTAATCTCAAGACTGGCTGGACAAAATACAAACCCACTCCCATATATGTTTGTTTGTTTTTTAAAGTGTAATCGGCTGTATGCCTTAAGGTGCCCATACACCTGCCGATTATCGTACGATAATAACGGGCGATTAAGGTCGCACGTCTTTCCCCCCCCCCTCAGCGGGGCAGGCTTTCGGAGATCGCAAGTACGATCTGCCTGTCCAAGATGGGCAGATCGTACGAGCTTTAAATTACCTTACAACCATCGCAGGTTGTAAGGTGAACCTTTTAGGTAGTAGAATCCAGTCTAAGGCTGGGCACACACCTTACAACCAACGCAAGACTTTTGTCTTGCGATGGTTGTAAGGTACTTAAAAAAACGTACGATCTGCCTATCTTGCAGATCGTACTTGCAATCGCAAGCCACGCCCCCTGAGGGGCGGGCTTCCGATGACCGCAATGCCGAACGGGCAGTGTGTGCTTGTGCACACCGGCCCGTACTGCTGTTATCGTACGGACATGCCACAAACCCGCCGAACATCGTACGATGCTCGGCTGGTTTTCGATCATGTCCGTAAGTTTAAAGTCGTGCGACCTTACAGTAGTAGAGGTCGCACGGCTTCCACACACCTTACGATCATCGTACAATCGCGGGATTTCCCGCGATTATCGTACGATAATCGTAAGGTGTGTGGGGACCCTAACTCATTACCTGACACCCCCCTCGGCTTCCTGATTTGGCCAGAAAGCCGGCTCTATTCTTCATCACCTGGTAACGTGGGAGCCTGGAGATGGCTTCCCGGCTAATCGGTAAGCCAGGGTGGCGAGTCATTACATGCTGCCCGGCTTCCTTAATGGCTCTTCCGGTATTGACAAAACAAATATCGGTACTAGATACCGAAAAACATATATCTGTGCATCCCTAATCCTTACCATTCTAATGCTTGGTCAAACAGTTCAGCCCCTGGACTTTGCATGCTTAAAAGCTGAAATCTAGGCAGATATTAAAGACATTAATGCAGCTCTGTGATCAGTAATGCATCCTTATGTGTATCACTGAATTTATATTTGTGTGTATATATTCTGAATGTTCAAATTCTTTTGGGGATAACAGGTAATAACAGCATGATACACAGTCCAACAATACTATGGGTTCCACTCGACTGACAGCAAGAGAACTTTGTGAGAATGATGACCTGGCAACCAGCTTGGTGCTTGATCCTTACCTGGGATTCCGAACACACAAAATGAACGTTGGGTGAGCTGCGTGCTATGTTTAATATATAAACCTTTTAGCTTCCTTTTGTGAACAGACCAGTTGCTTTTTTTTTTTCTTTAGAGTCTCCAGTATGTTCCAGCCTTGTGAGATTTTGTTCAAAAGAGCCAAGCAGTGTTCAGCAGCCAAGCTTGGATCAATGTCGAATCTCCATATTTCATTGAAACCAGTGGCACATGTATTTGTTTTTTCCTGCCCCTGCTAGAATGTCTTAGAGGGTTCAGAAGGTGCATCTGTTTTCTAAACGTAACATCAAATTTTTGACTTGAATGCCTAAATGAAAAAATTAAAGGTTGGTGGCCTTTAAGTGCCAGAAAACACTCGTACTCTTCCAAGGTTGACCTGTGCTATCACCTATTGTCTGCTCCTTCCTACTAACCATAACTCGTAAACTACCCCAAGACTTAAACGTAACTAGGGCAGAATCAACTAAATGATTTTATTGATGATCAATAGTTGTCAATTCTTATTCTAGATTAATTTGTGTGTATCCCCTGCTTTTCTCCTCGGCGCCGGAAGCCGGTGTTTCATCGGCTCTGTGTTCATCGGCCTCTGATTCCACGCTGCTCCCAGCAGAGATCGGAGCGGTCACAGACCCCTGCAGCCGGTGCCCAGCAGTGAGGCGAGCTCCCACAAACATTTATTATTTACAAACCTCACTACAAAGTTTGTAAATAATTGAGGACATAGTATTCAGATACAGTGTCCCCAATTGTGAATGAACAGAAAGTGCTCTAAATCTGTTTACTATCTCCTTAATTTATTAATGAACAGAAAACTTCTGTACTGAGTGCTTTTCTGTTCATTGCGTGCTGGGGCTGCAGAAAAAGAGATTGAGGACTGTGTCCTCCAAAAACAAAACATTAAAATAAAACCATTAAAAAGTTATAAAAAAAGTCCCCTAGAGGTGGGGTAAAGTCATTTTCGGTTTCGGCCTGACAAATTCTGCTGTGGGAGGTGCGTTTCCATTCTTTTCAACGCACCTACCACCTGCAGTGCGATCATCAGCCCTGGAACTTGCGGTACTATGCTATGCATTCCAGTGATTTAAAAAAAAAAAAAACTGCATGCAGTTTTATTCTGTAAATCAACTGTGTTTTTGTTTTTTACATTAAGGATGGTATTTGATATTTTTCTTTTTATCCAATTGATTTAATAAAAAAATAATCAGCCAGCTAATTGCTTACGAAAATAATTGCTAGTTGCAGCCCTAAACGTAACCCCTAAACTAAGCACAGAATTAAAAAAGAACTAAATTCTGTGCTATGTAATTCTGTTTACTATATAAAAAAAAGAGAATTGCATAAAATCTGTTCACCTAATGTCAAAATCAGGGTCTGGCAGTCCTAAGGCTGGGTTCACACCTGGGCGTTTTGTAGCGCGTTCCTACGCTCTGCAAAACGCTCAAACACAGAAATCCCATTATTTCCTATGGGCGTATTACAGGCCGTATGAACACGCTACAAAACGTCCTATGCCCAAAGAAGTACAGGAGCTTCTTTGGGGTGTTTTTGTCGCGCGTTTCCATTGGGATACAGCCACGTAGCCCTCGGAAACGCGTGTTTGTCGCGCGGTTTTAACTGTGAATCACGCGACACGAAACGCGGGTATTCGATACGCCTAGGTGTGAACCCAGCCTAAAAAGTAGATGGGTTTAAAAGGAAATGTTTAATACATGGTAACCCAAATGTCCAATGGGATCACCTGTTTGCAACATGTGACCGTTCCAGAAGAAAACAGGCAGGTCAGCTGTGAAGATATCTGAAGTGGAGGTATATCCGTAGAAGCACACCATATACAGTGTCCGGTACATCAAATGGCAAAACTAGGGAGGGGACACTATCACGGCAAAAAAAAAAATCTTTAATCTGATAGTTTGGTAGGGAAAAATATGTTCTTCAGAAACTTAATTTGGGCTCCAAGGTAACCAGATCGCAAGAGGAGAGGCAGGGGTGTCAACTGTCGATGTGCCTGCGGTCTGTCAATAGTTGTTTTCCCAGAAGTCCAGCGCTTCCCATTGTGGATCCTGCACAGTCATTGCCTCAGCTTGTTAGAACTTGCCTTATAGCTCTGTGGGAAATCTTCTATTTTACAGAGTTGCATAGTCAGGTTGAAAAAAGTCACAACTCCATTGCGTTCTACCTATAGAGATAAGAGAAGGGGGGAAAAAAAAAAGAAAAACATTAAACATTTAATTCCTTCACTACTTCCTGTACCGTTGGAAGAGTATTCGTGCTCCATCCACGCATCATGCATCGCCTGGCTGCTAGTAGACAGAGATGTATCCAGTCCCTACCCTTTTGCCCTGTTTGCATTGTTTCCATTCCCTGCGATGCACTAAAAACATATAGCAGGGGTTCAAAAGGGGGGGTCCACTTCGTAACCTGTAATGAAGGAGGCCAGTGCCTGCCAGAACTTGTATATTGCGTCACAGTTCCACAGGCAGTGTGCCAGTGATGGTCGTAGCACTCCACATTTCGGGCATCTAGATATCAAAGATTCTGAGGAAGTGTTCTGCGGTTTGAAATACGGGACGTATGCCCTGTGCATAATTTTGAATTGGGTCTCCCTCCAGACTTCGTTGATCACTATCTGTTTAATCTTGTTGTATCCTTGTAGTAATTTGTCAACCAAGTCGGGAGCCGGAAAATCTTTTTCCCAATTCTGTACATTTAGAGGTGTGCACATACAACACGTGGAGGCGGGGATACAGCTCTGAGACAGAGTAGTTATTATCTTTCAGCATTCTATCTAAGAATGAACCCCCAGAAAGCTCCTAGGGTTTTGCGAGATGCTCTGCCACGTTTTCGTGGCCTGCAGGAAGTGCAGGAAATGTGTGCTCGGAATTTTAAAGTCCTGAATCAGCTCCGAGAAGGTTACGGGTGTCATTGAAGGTCCTGTAAACAATTGAGCCCACATGTTCAATCCCTGCCGTTTCCAAATGTTAAACGCCAGATACTCCATACCTTGTGGGAAAATGGGATTACCCTGTATCGGGCAGTAAGCCGAGAGGTGAGGTGATAAGTTCAATCCTCTACGCTCCTCTCTCCAGGCCACCACCGTGTCACATCAATAGATTTCCCGCTGTATGCTTTGGTATGAGAGACAGTTTACAGTGCAGAATAGCCTTTATGTTCCATGGGTGCACCAAGGCTTCTTCCAGCGAGGTATTGGAGAATCTAGATTTACCAGACACCCAATCCAACGCATGGCGTACTAAGCATGCTATATTATACAAGCGAATATTGGGCAGGTTAGCTCCCCCCTCGCTCTTTGGGAGCCACAGCTTCTTGAGAGATATTCTAGGTCTTTTACCTTGCCATATAAATCTAAGCACCGCTGTGTTCAGGCGCTTAATATCTTTATGTTTTAGTAATAATGGGAGAGTCTGTAGTGGATACAGCAGCCTGGCGAAGCAGGTCTATAATTTTTATCGTAGGTGTATTTTAAATGATGGAGACAGAATATCAACCAAAAATCCAGAAAAAACACATGATACAAATGTTATAAATTGAGTTGCAGTTCAGTGAGTAAAATAAGTATTTGATCCCCAAGCAAAACATGACTTGGTACTTGGTGGAGAAACCCTTGTTGGCAAGTACAGAGGTAAGACGTTTCTTGTAGTTGGTTACGAGGTTTGCACACATCTTGGGAGGGATTTTGGTCCACTTTTCTTTACAGATCTTCTCTAAATCCTTAAGGTTTCTTGGCTGTCGCTTGGCAACTTGAAGTTTCAGCTCCCTCCATACATTTTCTATAGGATTAAGGTCTGGAGATGGCTAGGCCACTCCAAAACCTTAATGTGCTTCTTCTGGAGCCACTGCTTTGTTGCCTTGGTGGTATGTTTTGGTTCATTGTCCTGCTGAAATACCCATCCACGACCCTTCAGTGTTTTGGCTGAGGGAAGGAGGTTCTCAAAGATTTTACAATACATGGCCCCATCCATTGGCCCCTCAATGCGGTAAACTCGGCCTGTACCTTTTAGCACAGCCCCAAAGCATAATGTTTCCACCTCTGTGCTTGACTGTAGGGAGGGTGTTCTTAGGGTCAGCATTTTTCTTCCACCAAACATGGCGAGTCGAGTTAATGCCAAGGAGTTCAATTTTGGTCTCAACTGACTGCAGCCCTTTCTCCCAATCCGTCTGAATCATTTAGATGTTCATGGGCAAACATCAGACGGGCCTGTACATGTGCCTTCTTGAGGAGGGGGGACCTTGTGGGCGCTGCAGGATTGTGTTGCCAATGGTTTGTTTGGTGACCTGAGATCATTGACAAGCTCCTCCCATGTAGTTCTGGGCTGATCCCTCACTTTTCTCATGATCATCCTTACATTATGAGGCAAAATCTTGCATGGAGCTCCAGAGCGAGGGCGATTGATGGTTATTTTGCATTCCTTCCATTTGTGAATAATGACTCCAACATTCATTTCTTTGTAAGTGGGCAAACTTACAAAATCTGCAGGGGATCAAATAATTTCCTCACTCTACATACTGTACCATAAAATTGTCATGTAATAAGTTTATAAATGTGCTCCCTTTTACTGTTCCAGCAGTGTCATTATGCGGGTCAATGTCAGGATAGTTAAAATCTCCCATAAATACCACTGTCCCCGCCCTTGCTGCCCTTTTCTATTTGGTTAAGCAGCTGAGTCTCTATCTCTTTATTCTCACTGGGGGCCCTGTAACAAACTCCAACAATTACTTTTGCATTATGCATACCAGTATACAATTCCACCCATAACGCTTCAGCACCATAGACATGGAAAGTCCTCTTTTAACAATCACTTTTAGATCACTTCTCAAATAGAGACCAACCCCGCCACCTTTTTGTTTTACCCGGTCTCCCTGAAAGAGCATAGCCAGGAATATGAACAGCCCAATCATGAGAAAAACCAAGCCAAGATTCAGCAATACCAATCATATCATGGTTCTCGCCATGCACAAAAGCTTCCAATTCTCCCATTTTGCTGTGCAGACCTCTGGCATTGGCACAGAAACAATTCAAGCCATTTTTTACATTTTTCACTTGCAATAGTTGTATCTTTTGTTGTAGTACCATTAGTACTATCATCTCCAATGTTTGTTTGCAACATGGGAATCTCCTTATCCAATTGGATTTCCCTCCCCTGTTTGACGTATCTGGCACATTATATTCCATCTCTTCCCTCCCCCTCAATCCTAGTTTTCCCCTAGCACAGTAGCCCCCCTTCCATTTAAGGTGCAGACCATCTTTAGCATATAGGTTGTACCCAAATGAAAAGTCAGGCCAGTGCTTCGGAAACCCAAAGCCTTCCCTCTTACACCAGGTCTTCAGCCATGTGTTTAGCTCTCTAAGCTCCTGCTGTCTGTCCTGCGTTGTGCATGGCACAGGCAATATTCCAGAGAATATTACCTTGGAGGTTCTTCCCTTCAGCTTGCAATCTAGTTCTTTAATTGAATTGATTTTTAAAGGATCCTTCATCTTCCATGTATTGTCATTACATGACTTGGACCAAGACAGCTGGGTCATACCCAGCCCTTCCTAGTAATTTGTCCACCACATGCCGAGCCCTGGCACCAGGGAGACCGCAAACCATCCGGTTGAGGCATCCGGTTCTTTTCTGGGGTTCTTTTCCTCTAACTACAGTAACCCAGCTTCCTGTCTGATCATCCTCACTTACCCCTCCACCGTCCCAGATCAACCCCATTAACTGCCTGCTCGGTGAGCAACACACTCCTCTCGAGGTTGTCAAGTCTCCTCAGTGTTGCAATTCGCTCTTCCAGATCTCTAATATGAGCTTCCAGAAGTGCAACCTGCTCACATCTGTCACAGCTGTATTCACCCTGGAGCTGTGGCTCCATTTGTGTATAGATGTGGCACAGTGTGCACTGAACAAACCCTTCAATCTTCCTAACATACATCATCCTAGTTAGTGTTTAAGGAAATTAAAGATAGTACTTCAGGGGTGTGGAATTCCTATCGCCCGGGACAGGCAGTTTCGGGCGCCGGGTGAGTAGTTTTTTTTTCTACATTTAGCCCGGCTGCGGGCATGCAGCACGGCTAAATGTTGTGTGGGAGCCATTTTGTACAAGTCATTTTAAACGGCTGTACAGCCGTCCAAAATCACTTGTAACCTGCCTGTCTACATGTGGTCTTCGGGGTCCCCCGCTCTTGTGCGGGATCCATGATCACGGCAAATTAGATCAAAGAGCGCGGAGCAGGGCAGAGAATGCTTCTCTGCTCGGCTCCGTGTGAATAGTGACACAGGAATGCAGCCTTCCTTTCGCAGAACGAGCACAGTGCTGTGCTAGAACTTCTGTGTTGGAGGTGACAGGGTCAATAAAGAGAGCTTTTGGAGGTGACAGGCAATCGCACAAGGGCTTGTTACTCCTTGTGTGATAGCAATAAAGTCAAGTGGGAAAAAAAATAAAATGCATATCTATTAAATGTAAATACATAAAAATGGGAAAAATGGGGCCACGTGGCAACCGCACACGTCAGCAGAAGTCTGTCCCCACCCCAAAGGGTAAATTCACTTTCCCAAGTAATTTGGGAAAATGGAATTACCTGCACATATCTGGTCCCCTCTCCCTCCCTGCTATACTTAGTCCTTCCTGTCCGCCAGTACAGGTGTACTATCTGTACCTGTGCCATGTATTCTGAATTTCGCTCGCAAATTTCAAGCACTCGTTAGTCAGCGCAGTCACCTGACTGCACTGACCAATGAGAAGCTCTTCTTGGCACTGCTAAATAAAGTTTGGGTTAGATTTTTTTTTTCTATCCGGACAAGTAGATTTCCATAAGGGACAAGTAGATCGGGCCCCCGCTTTAGTCCTTGGACAAGTAGTTTTTTTTTTAATTTCCACACTCCTGTACTTGCAGTTCAAACTCCAATTTTGTAACGCCACTAAGCTCACAGGCACTTTGTTCCCAAGCCCTGTGTGAGCAAGTGAGTGGCGCACTAGCTTATAATATACCTATTTAATGAGAGACACCTGGGATCAATGAACCCCTCCCCCTAACCAGAGAGCTGAAAACCAAAAAGAACTAAAAAAGATTGTTTTCGCCTTTATGCAAAGACCTAAAGCTTCTTTTTTTGTGATGTGAACAATCTATTTTACTTTGTCTTGCAATCCCCAAAAAATTCTGATAGAGATTTGTGAACAACAAAGAAAACCATAATTACCATATACATTAAAGGTTTTACCGTCCCGCCTACGATCTCAAATAACACTAAAGAATTGCACATCTGTAATTTTACTTTTCAGTCTGTTTAGGTCAAAGCAACACTTTGTGCAGCCTTTTTCAATTCATACTATATTCTATGATTCCACACATGGGCTTTTTCATTGGATTTGAATATTAGTGACTGGCTTTATTCATCCCTGTAGTAATGTGCCATCAGCTGCTTTACAAACAACTCAAATTCCACTCAAATTTATTAAAGTTCTGTAGTGTGTGGTGTTGTGTTTTTTTTACTAACCAGTTTCATTCTCCTTGTTGCATTTCATGGCTACTGAAGGCTAAAGAGAACAAGAATTGTGCTAAATGGTTTAAGGAAAGTGGAAGGAAAAGTTGACAGTGTCATAAGCCAAGAATCTTGCCCAGTTAAAAATAAATATTCCTCCAGGTAAATAAGGAATTTTTCAGGTTCTGGTAATGTTTAGGCACTAAATCCAGGTGAGAGGAAATGGCTAAATTAGGGTTACATTAAGTTATTATATGTTCTACATGTTTAATGTATCTCTGTTTTTATGTTCTAGTCCACTGCCCTCTATAAGGCGACGGCATCACTTGAGAGAGGCGCTACACACATTCCGCAGGAAGAGAGACCTGGAGGCAGCATTCCGTGCTTTTATAACAGGAGCTAATCATTACCTCAAAAATCAAATACCACAGCAGGAAGCCACACTAAAGGCACATGTAAGTAGACTGTTATTTATTTATTTATTTTTATTCATGTTTAATTTGTATTTTCTTCGGTTGCAGTATGATTGGGTATAACCAGGCATGTTGAACCTGGTAATGACTAAGTGGTGTAAATCTGTGTCTTGCCATGCAGTACATTCTATGTTCTCCATTTTAGCAGGTTTACAGAACATGTACATGCATGTGCTTCCGTGGAAACATGTGCCTACTTCTGTCCAAGATTGCACATTGATGTGCAATGGGTACTTTAAAGTTTTCCAATTAAGGTCACAGTACAGGTGTTGGGAACTGGACCCATGGACTCTCAACCAAACAGATGGGTAGGGACATTCTTTTAAAAGGGCAAGATCTCCTGTGCTGAATTTTTAAAAGGAGGGATTAATATCACTTTAATGACCCCTGGTCAAAAGGGTTAACTTTCTGTAGGTGGAGTCCCCATTGAAATGTTTCCCTTGCATCCTGTTCAGTTTCTCGCCTATATAGTTAGTGTGTACCCACACTTTGATTTTAAAATTGATAAGAGCCAATTTCTGATTAAAAAAAATGTCTTTAGGGACTGTCTGTCTTATTCACTTGTATAAAAATAAAACCAAAATTATTGTATATATTTTGGGGGGGGGTGCTATTGCCATTGCCATTGCCACATTTACTACAATGTCAAAGGGTTTTTCATATTTTAAATGAGCACATCTTTAAAATTACTCTTGCTATTCACATCCAGATATTCCGGTACCTGCGGATGTTCCTGCCAGAAAGTGGATTCACGATCCTGCCTTGCAATCGGTACTCTCTGGAAACCAATGGAGCCAAAGTAGTTGCTACAAAACCTTGGTGAGTAGGTAAAAAGGCTTATAATAGTAACAAGTGAAAGTGTGCCCTTTGTTTAGAAGGAAGCGTTTAGAAAATGCTGTTAATGTTCTGTCCCAAACTAATCATATGTGGTGATCAATATATTGCATGATGATTCTGTTAACAATGTGTCCAATTTATTAACTCTCAACTGCTTTAAATCATATTTAAGATTTCTAACATGCCAACTCAAATTTAATAAGGTGGAAGTTATGGAAAACACATATTGCTTGCTATTTTGGGAAGCCCCCTCCTATATTTTCATAGGAGCAGTGCAGATCAAAATATTAAGGTCCCCTTCATACTATGCCATTCCATTGTGGTTTTGTTTACAAGTTAGTGTGTGTTGCATTAGACCGCCATTTCATCATGAGTGGGCTGTCAATGCATTGCAATGGTAAAAAAAGTCCCACATTTACATTGTGATGTGCTGCAGTGTGAATCTGTTGGCATCTACTGTACTTGTGAAAATTGGGTTGCAATTCTAAAAAAATGGCACCCCAATGCATTACACAGTGCCTTGTGTTTTTGTTGGGCCAATAACTTAAGCCTAATGGGTTCCCTCTCCATGCCAACTAAACCCCTTTTGCACTTAGCTTGGATCCGTGGGCATTGTGCTCCAGAAGCCTATACCACATTAGTTGGTGCTCGTTCAAAGACTGCTCCCTATAGGTTTACAAGTGAGAAGCTTTTGTGTTTTGGGTCTATAAAGAGCCCAGTACTTCTGCCACTCTGCACCATGACAGCTCCCTGTCACCCAGCATCCCAACCCCTGCCACTGAATACCAACAACCCAAACATTGCACCTTTTTACCGGCTAGCAACTCTGCCAATGCAAATTTCATCACAACTCTCTCTGTTCCTGCTCTCCCTTAGCAGTAATCTGCAGGGTGGATGAGAGGCTAAGTCGGTCATGTCTGGCTCCCCCACTACTTCCTCCTCTCTCTATCAACATAACCTCCTCAGTGCAGTCTGTAGACTTTGTGCACATTGTGTATGTTCCTAGAGGAAGGGGGAAGAGGTGCACACGTCCAGGCTGAGAGGAAGAGGAGACCCCCATTTCTATGGAACCCTTCCAATGCAGCAGCCATTTCCCAGAAGTCCCAACATCCAAATGTCTTATTTCTCTTGCTTTCAAGGTAACATATATTCACTTCGGTCCTTTTTAACTGCTGTGGGTTATTTTTCAGGGCAAAGAATGACAAAATTGCTCTGCTTGTGGGCTGCATAGCTGAGTTAACTAAAGCTGATGAGAGCCTCCTTCACTTTGGTGAGAATGACTTCAGTGTTATGTACTCCACCAGGAAGAGGTGTGCACAGCTTTGGCTGGGGCCGGCTGCTTTTATTAATCATGGTAAACAATCCTGCTTTTAAGTTTGGTTTTTTTGTACATATTTTTTCTTAATGTTATAGTCAAATGTGTTCAGTATTTGTAGACCAGTGAGTGCTTCTGTTGGGTTAAATTATATGACTAGAGCAGAAATGCAAAATTTTGTGTAAACTCTGCCATCCGAGTAATAGGATTTCTGGCAGCAATAAGTAAGGCACATTAGATAATAGTGTCCTAGGCTTGTAGCTAAAAGCGATGTACTAAAACCTTCTAAACTAAGCTTCTGCAGGTTGGCAGCTTGACTTTTGACTGCCCCCCTCCATCCCCCAGTCAATTGAAAAATTTGACGGTGTCTCACCAGTCAGTCATAAATTTTATGCGCATCGATCAGCGCTGTAAAACGCCCAGGTGTGAACCCGGCCTTAATGGCTCTAAAATTATTGCTCTCACTCCGACGTTTGCGGAGATATGTAAGATGTGCGGCGCAATAGTCTTCGCACGTAGGCGCACCCGATGCATATCTGTGTGTATGTGGGGGGCAGGGACTTAAAATGTTAAAAGAAAACATTTTTTTATGCTTTATTTTTTGATTCTTTAATTTTTTTTATTACCTTTTTTTTTTTTTGTACACAACTTTATTGCTATTGCATGGGGGGCTAAGAAACCCCCTATGGGATACCCAATTTACATGACAGGTCCTCTTTATGGAGACATCAAGGGTCTCCAAGACCCCTAATGTCACCTAGGGACCCCCAGAGAAGCTAATGAAGCAGAGATCGGCTTCATCAGCTTCTCTAGCTGGAGAGTGACACTGAATGCAGGAAGTAATGTAATATACATCACTTCCTGCATTCGGGGACTGAGAGGAGATCAGAGGGAGTTTGTATACTGAACTCCCTTTTGATCTCCTGTCACAGAGCCGTGCCGGTCTCGGCCGCATCGGGCACAGCGGAACTCGTGACCGGCAGTGACAGCTGCTGATACAAGCGATCGAGTGTCTCTAGAGACGCCCGATCGCTTGACTGTAAAGCTCCCGGCCGTCCGTGTAATTACAACGGCCGGCCGGGAAGCTGCTCGCTGGGCTCCACCGTCCTCTCATCACAGACAAGTAGACAAGTGGATTTTTCAAGCCCTGCCCATATTGGCCTCTTAGTGTGCAGGGGATAGCAGTTAATGAAGTGAAATCCATAATCAGGTGGAGTCAGACAACAGTAATAAAGTAACTGCAGAAGTAGCTTTTCTGGCTAAGAAATACAAGTAATGGCAGGCATTTTGTGGTGTTTGCATTTAGGTAGGACTTTACTCTCCAAAGTTTTTAAATGAAATGCATTTTTTTATTTCATAAACCTATTGCTGAGTTCACCAGTCCATGGTAACCAGTCATGTCTTGGCAGAGCAGTCAGGCAAATGAACAATAAGGCTGTTTATTGCTTTGGTTATTAACATAGTGTCTACAGACAAATAGTAGCTTGTGACTGTGTTACATAGAGTTGGATGGTAACCAATTATTTATAGAGACAGTAGATAATATGCAAATGAAGATGGATACTGTGTGTGTTTAGGCATGTCATTTTATTTATTTGTGTTTATAATTCTAGTTTTTAATTTGCTTGTATTCTTTCTTTCTTTCTTTCTTTCTTCCATATTTTTGTGGACATAAGACTGTCGGCCCAACTGCAAGGTAAATTTACATAACTTGAAGTCGATGGAGTCTTGTGTTTTTTGAATTAATGCAGATAAAGGAAGAATACATAGGCTGCTATAATGACTTGCTTGCTATAGTGCTGAGCCTCTAGCATATATTTCCCCAATCATCTTCCAGCTTCAGGTTGCTGTCCTGGAAGATTCCTAGAAATACCGTTACCGGTAAGTCTAACGGAACATTTATATATTTTTTTACTGGTGTCTTCAGAAGAGTGGATATGTCCTCCAGCTCTGTTTTTTTTTTTTTCTGTTCCTTTTTGGAAGATTTTCCTATTACCGTAACAGTTGGTCTTCTACAGCTGGTAGATTCAAGCTGGTTATTGACATTCATAGAAGTCTTTCCCAAGGAGCACATCATTTAGGACTCCACTATCCAGGTCCAGGCGGTATGTCTGGAGATTCCTTATGGAGTTATTGGGCCAAAGCTGAAATGTTTCCTGTCCGTCTCTGTACTGTGAGTACCTAGCGGGCCTCACTGGATTGAGGTTTCCTCAGTTTTATACTGAAGCTACATATATCGTGTTTGGTACAGAATCCTCTGAAGCTGATGGGTCATTTTGTGTGGGGAGTTATTTCTTTTTTTCTATACTTGTTTTTGGACTTGTAAGTCTGCCAGTTGGAATACAGGGAAATTTACTTTTTATCAACCTTCTCCCCCCGCCCCCAACTCTCTTATCCTTATTGATACAGCAGCCTTACATTTGGAGGAAGCCGACATGCTCCCCAATAACCAATCCCCAACCTTCCTGTGTTGCATTAGAGGTGGAGTTATCTCACACGTGCTTCTACTACTTCCTAGTTCTCTCCTGCAGTTTCAGATGCCTATCCATTAAGGCAAAGGTTGGGCTAGGATGATTTTTTTTGCAGACAGTAGTTAGTGTCACTTGCCTGTGTCTTTACGGAGTCGGCGCTGGCTGAGATAGTAAATCCTCTGTGCCAAATCTAAAACTGTGCAACAACTGACTTTCCACCCACCTTCAGCAGTGAGAGGGCAGAAAGCTGGGCAAGCTACTCAAGTGGCCTTCTGGCGCTGCAAGTTGATGCCAAGCAATGTGCCCTGTGCCCAGACCAGCATGAGCTTACAGCCCATCATGTCCACTTCTCCAGAGCTGTGCTCTGTGATCAGCCATTCTTCCTCTTCCACTACTGGCAAGTACAGGTTTGCCAAACTACTGTAGACTGCTTCTGCCACCAGTACCAGCAGCAGAGGGAAAGGAATTGTTTAGAAGTGCCACTACAGCTACCCCCCCACAGTCTCCGCTAGCATTTTCCTGGGCAGCATGGACTGCCGTTAATGTGCAGCCAATGCACGTAGATTACAATGACTAAATATCTTAACCCTGAGAGGGAATGGCTGCACTCTGCTACAGAAACTGTACAATGGGCTTTCCTCTTTTTCCATACTGAGCCATGCTCAGGTGTTTTGCTAGTGTTCCCAAATACCTTGTAAAGTGTGTGTGTGTTCTCTCTGCAGAGGCATCTGATCTCATCTCAGCACCCAGGTGTTTTTGCTAGTGTTGTCAATTACCTTGTAAACAGGACGTGTGTGTGTGTGTGCGTTCTGCAGAGGCATCTGATGTCATCTCACCACCCACCCGTTATCTTGGGTTATATCTGGTCAGGAGTGCAAAGGGATTTACTTGAATTATATATCCCTCCTTTCACTCCAGGTGGCAAGTGCCATTGGATTTCAAATAGTTAAGTTACCACCCAGTATTAAAGGTGTAGTGTACTTAACATCACCTTAAGGCTGTCCAGGTTGAAACACATCGGAATACTGTTTTATGTTGAGCTGTAGGTCTTCTCATCAATACATTATAAATTAGTTGTGCAGGACTATAGCTATAATCGCACTGTTTCAGGGATGTGCTTACAATACAATTATTACAAAAAACATTTCATTTATAAAAGATGGGAAAAGTCCTTTTCGGTTTCGGCCTGACAAATTCTGGTATGGGAGGTGCATTGCAGTGCCATGCATTTCAATACCACCCCAAACACGCCGTATTGCCGTGTGTTCCAGTGCAGTGTAATTGAAAAAAATTGTGCATATGGTTTTATTCTGAAGTAAACGTTGTAAAATTGCATTTGTGTATTTCGTTTTAAATTTAAGGACTGTATTTCAAATTTTTTTTTTTTTTTTTTATCCGATCGAAAAAAATCAAACCACTAATCGATTATGAAAATAATCAGTTGCAGCCCTACCACAAAATATTAGCAGATCTCATTTAGACCCCGTTCACATTGAGCGATTTATCGCGCAGTAATTCCCGCGATATCGCAGCAAATTACCGCGCGATATTGCTCTCCAATGCAATCCAATGGGGCAAAGGGTCCTGCTGTCGCGGGTCGTGTGTCGCTACAGCAGGACCCTTTTTGGAGTGGATTTAGCCGCGATTCAAGCTTGCTCAATGCAAGCTTGAACGTGACATCGCGTGGCAAATCTCCCGATGTTGCGCAATATGCAAATTGCGCTACTTGCATATCGCGCAGTGGGAACGGGGCCTTAAGCCCTCCTGGGGTCTTCTGAATCAAATTTGGTTTACGTTCCATATACAAAGGGGGCATTGGATTGAGATGTTGGATCTCCTTTCTGAATGTCTTTTATTTGCATCCAGAAGTTCTGCATGGAATACACCATAGCTGTCATTGCCTCCCTTCTCTGGGCAGACTTGGCACATCTACATTTTGCTGTGTGGCCACACAATTAACAGTTAGTGGACCTGCCCTTTACCCTTTATGCACCTAGAGGGTTCACCAAGGTGGGCAGGGAACGTAGTTATCTGAAAACTCATCTCCTGATCAGCATTCTGGGATTTTGGGTGATTTGGCTACTTTTACAGCGTTGGACTAGATTCAGTCAGACAACATTACATTGGCATACATCAACCATCAGGGAAAAATCCAAATGTTATCTGCGGCTAGACGGATCATTTGGATCCTGCTCTTGGCAGAACTTAACCCCTTCGTGACTGACGACGTACAGTGTACGTCGCCAGCATCGGGGCTGTTTAAACAGACTCCCGGTGACTTTTGCCGCCGGGACTCTGTTTAAACTTGTAGAGCCGACTGTCGGCTTTACAACAGAAGCGATCCTGGCGACTTACCTGTCGCCAGATCGCTTCTGCGTCCCCCCCC